TATGACTTGTCCAGGGTGACAGGAAGAGGTGGAGGGGATAGTGTCAACATCTGACTCCTGATCCAATGACCCCAGAGCCGAAAGAGTTACCGGTTGACCCCCTCCCATGGTGTTCCCAACTTGAACGGAGTGAAGAGGTGACTGGGTGGGTGAGACCCGGGTTCTTGAGGCCCAGCCTGCTAATCTGGCCACCACCCCTTCTCCCTCCCATCTGTGCCAGAGCTTAGCAGGACCAGTGTCGCGTTTCCTCCGCGGCTGAGCCGGCTGAGCTGATAATGGGGATCAGATTGATGGAGGCCACACCCGCCCTGCCCCAGCCTGCACAGCCTGGGATGGTGGCTACATGGGCATCAAAGGGACTTCGGCAACTGGCCCCAGACAGAGATGAGGGGGGTGGCAAAGAGGGCAGATCAAAGATGGAGGGTTAAGGAAAGTTCTCATTCTCTCCAGTGCTTCTTGTAAGTCTCCCAGACTTTTGGTTTCTCGCTGCCTCTTTCTTCCTCTGTTTCTCTCTCTTCTCCACTGTCCTGCCCTCTCCCTGAACCGTTCTGTGTCCTTGGCCTCATCACTCTCTCTTCCTCTTTTCCACCATTGCACATACATTTGACTTACGGGGTTTTGCAGTGAACACACCTGAGGCCACTTGTTTCTTAGAACTTCCTGTGTCTGACCCCCACGGCCCCCAGCTGTGCTCCCTGGCCCCAGTCACAGTGACAGATGCCTGGGATACCGGCGACAATAGGGCATTGAGTGGCTATGCATGGTGAGGCTGGGCTACCACGTGGTGCTGACTGAGCCTCCTACTTCTGGGCCCTTCTTCAATGCAGGGTCCTTGTGGTCTTAATTTATCACCTCTCTTCCTCCCATCCTGTCCCCATGATACATCTCTGCCCAAGTGCTCGCTCACTGGAGAAGCTAGGTCCTCAAGGCCCTTGTGTGACCTCTGACCACACCCTCTTTCCCTTTGTGCATTAGTTCCCTTTTTCAAATGAGAGAACCGATCAGAGGACGCCTAGGAGGTGCTGGACTGTTGCGGGAGTTCTGAGGTCCTCAGGAGGCCACACTCCAGTTCCCAGACCTGGGTGAGCAGCACGAGGCCCAGAGAGGGAAAGGAACTGGCCTGAGGTCACACAGCAGGTGAGCCAGGTCTCCGGGACCTCATTTCTCAGACCCAGGTGGGCGGGTCCCAGGGTCCAGGAGGGGAGAGGCCCAGGCATGGAGGGAGCGCCAATCATGCCCCCACCCCCACTGCTAGCCACGACTCGAAAAGGGGCCCGAAAGAGACACAGTGCACAGAGACACACACGCAGAGACGGAGAGATAGGAAGAGTGGAAGAGGGAGGCCCGGGCGCCGGGACCAGACAAAGGACGCGCGGCGGCGCGGGGAGCGGAGTCGCGCGGCAGGGGCGGGGGTGGAGCCGGGGTGGGGCTATAACTGGCCAGCCCCGCCCCCGGGATACGCCCGGGCTGCCGAGTGGGAATCCGAGGGCTCGGGCGAGGCCGGGCCCCCGGGGCCATGGGGGCGGGGCCTAGATGGGCGTGCCAGGGCGTGGCCAGGCAGGGCGTGGCCGGGCGGGAGGGGCCGCGCGCTCGGGAGCTGACCAGCTCCGTGGCTGCTGAAAGCACCGAGCGCGGGGCTAGCGGTGCGGGCCGGCAGGCGGGCGGGCCGCGCTCAAGGTCACCTCGCGGCCCAGAGACTTGGCGAGGTGGGGAGCCTGGATCTGGCCTAGGGGGACTGTCTCGGCCTCCTACCCCATCTCCCGGGGGGCGGGGACCCGGGAGCCTGGAGGTGCCCCCCCAACCCGCGGGCCCTCCTCTCCCCTCCCCCTCCCCGCAGCCCGAGGCGCCCGCGCGAGGCTGCGGCCCGCGAAGAAGCGCTGAGAAACAAAGGGACGCTGCAGCGGCGGCGGCGGGCCCGCGGGGCCTCCGGGCGCGCCCCCTCCTCTCCCCTCCCCGCTTGCCGCAAGGTCGACGGGCTCGAGGACGAGACTCCCGCCTCCCGGGTGCGGCCGAGGCCCGGGGCGCGCGATCCGACGCCACCCGCTTTCCCAGGGCTCTCGGGGATGCCTTGTCGCTTTGGCTTGGCCCAGCACCAGTGATCCGGCCCTGCGTTTGCCTGGGCGGCCTGCGGGGTCTGGGCCTGGATGGAGGAAGCATCCTTAGCCGCCGCGGCCCCTCCCCCATCAGGCCTGCGGGAGAGGGGGCAATCTGGCCTCCAGGGCGGCGTCGGACGCCCCCCGAATCACAGCCAGGCTCCCTAAGGCCCCTCAGGCCAAGCTCTAAGCGCCCTCAGCACTCTGGGCGCGGCCCTGCCCACTCTCAGGCCCCGACGCTCGGTCCTACCCCCCCAACCCGGGCCTAGCTAGGCCTGGTCCTACCCCCCCCCTCCGCCGCACCCGCCCAATCTCCGCGGAGCCTGGGCCCAACTCCTCCCCGTCCCGATTCCCTTTCGGCGACAGGGGAATACCTACAGTGACCATTCTTGTGTGCCCGGCGGGCGCGGTCCGTGTTGAGGGGGGCTCCGGGGGTCGTGCACTCCTAGGGGGGCGCCTGATGCTCACGCCGGGGTCCCGCCCGGGCGGCCTCTGGTGCGGCCGCTGCAGATGTGGCGATGAAGGCGGCGGCTCCCTCGAGGGCCAGGGACGGGCCCGAACCCGGGGATGCGCGCGCGGATGGCCGGGCCCCGGGGTGGCCTGCGGGCGGCAGGGGATGGAAAGAGGGAGCGGGCGCGGGGTTGAGGACGCCCCCTGCGCGGCCCCGCGGGGCCCGGGGAAGTTGCGCTTCCCGACAGAGATCGCGGCGCTCTGCCTTTCGCCGCCGCCCCTCGGTCGGCCCTGTCCGGTCCCGGGTGTTCAAGTCCTCTCCCCTCGCCCACCCTCCCTCCCTCCCTCCGGCCCGCGCTGCGCGCTCCGCGCTCTGGACCGCGCCGCCGCCGCCCCCAGCCCTTTATAGCAGCAGCTGCCAGCGCCGGCGTCGCTCATTGGCCGCGGCGACCGAGCTCCGCCTCCTCGCGGCTCCCGACGGCGCGGCAGGTGGAAGTGAGCGCGCGCTGGTAGGGACTCTGAATCCCCCAAAAAGCGCATCCTAGGTGCTTGGGTTGCCAGATTCGGGCCCTCCTTCCCTCGAGGCCCTTGTTTCCTACCTTGGCACCCCTTCTTGGGCTGGCTTTCGGGCCAGGAGACGGGCTCCCTTCCTCCGTCCAGCTCCTAGAGCTGGAGGAGCCAAGAGAACGAGGAGGTATTAGTGGCCTGAATATGCGACCTTCCAGAGGTGCTGTCAACCGGGGGGACTGGAAAGGGACCAGGAACCAATATTTTAGTAGGCAGAGGTCTGGGTCCCCAGATTTGGAGGCACGAGGTGTAGACCACCTCAAGACCACGGGGGAGGGTGGCTACTGTGGCCCTAGTCTTCTGCAGAAGGAGACAGGGACGCTGTTGGTTTTGAGTGATCTGGGTCCTTCTAGGGTTCAAAAGGTAAGGACTAGCACTCCCCAGTGCAAGGGAACTCCGCACTGCTCCGAAGGGGGTGAAAAGGTTTGGGGCTCAGTGTTCTGGACAATCATCGCTGGAGCCATGCAGCTCCGGGAAACCACGGATCCTTCTCGGACCCCACAAAACTGGGGTGGGTGGATCTGCCACATAAATGTCCTGGCTTTCTGGGCTCCTGATTGGTCCTCCTGACAGTGGAGTCATGCTCGCTCTCTGCTAGGGGAAACCTGGCCTCTCTCTAAGGCGTTGGGGCTGGCGCAGCCTCCTTTGGTGCGCGGGCGCAGGTGCATGTTTACGTCGGGGCACGGGAACTAGCACACATTGGGGCGGGGTCGCCGGGGCGTGAGGCTTCAGCACCACAGACAGCAATCCGACAGTTCGGTCGAGGGCGCTGCCAGCAAGGTAGCCCGGACCCCCTAACTGGAGAGTGGCAGTCCCCACCCTATCGTCGTTCCTGCACGCCCTTTAGGCTCCAGACTGTCAGAGAGCGCCACCAGCGAGGAGAGCCTAATTTGCCCAATCAGGGGCGGCCCTTGAGATAACCAATTACTGGAAGATGCCCTAGAGATCAAGCCAATGGGAGCGCGCGCACCAGAGGATGCTGCCGCGCCTGGGGAGGGCAGGCCAATCGCTGTGACCCGCGCAATAGGGGCGGTGGCGGTGCGGGTCCCCGAGTGGCCCCTCATGGGCTCGCCGGGGCGACCTGACTGCGGACGCTAGGGGCCCCAACCGATGGTCTGTTCCCCACCCCATGCTCCTCCCGGTTTCCGTCATCGGAAGCTGTGCTAGAAGGGGGGCTGCTCCTGGGCGCGCGGACCCCGCTGCGGTTCCCATGGAAACCTGCCGGCTCCGGCTGTGCGGGGAGAGTGGAGGGGACCTGCCTCAGCTGGGAGGGAGCTCGCGGGGGCGGCCCCAGCGGCCGGACTCGCTCATCCGCGCCGATTCTTCTGTCCCCGGCTGGGGTAGCCCCCCGGTCCGCAGCAGAAACTGAGGCGTAGCTGGGGCCCCGCCCCATCCCCCGAGCTGGTGAGGAGCCGGCGGGGCCAATCTGCGCGTGGCGCCACAGGGCTCCCCTGGGCACGTGCCTGAGCTCGCGGCTGCGGTCCCCAGGGTCACGTGGCTGCGGCCACCGGAGCCTACGCGCCTCGCACGCCACCTAGCGGACGCGCCTCGATCCCCGCCCCTCTCTCTAGCGGCCCGCAGGAGGCGGCGGCCTCAGCATCCTCCTCCGGGAAATGGGGCCAGGGCAGCCGCCGCCAACTCCCCTTCCCCCCGCGGCTTCCTGTTTTAGGAACACGCCGAGCTGGTTCTACCTCGGGGCTTTGGCACTGGCTGTTCCTCTGGCCTGAGAATTTCCTCCCCCAGCTTTCTTCAAGGATAGATCTTTGTCATTCTGGCCTATGCGCAAATGCCACCTCCTCAAAGGCCCTCCCTGACCACCGACCTAAACAGCATCCCCAGAAAACAACGCATCACTCTCTCTTTTGCATGGTGCTTGTCGCTAGCTGCAGATGTTTCTCATTTTAGGGGTTTACTGAACACCTCCCCATCTCATCCCGGAAGCTCACTGAAGGTGGGACATGGGTGCTCCATAAAAGAGGAGGAGTGGGCATTAGGGTCCTGAGTTCTGGGAGATGCCCAGAGACCCCAGACCCCCAAGTCCCACCCCATCCTGTGGGAGCAGGGGCTGTGCGGGGCTGCCGGGCCCAGGGACATCCCTCGTTTCCGGCCTCGCTCAGGAAGGGATCAAGTAGGCTGGAGACAGAGAGGGACCTGGCACCCCAAATCATTCAGGCCTAGGGGAAGGGCATCTCCTTTCTCGCTCTTTAATCTCACTCTGCTCTCTTGACAGTTCCAGTAATGCAGCCCCAGGTACCAGCTCCGAAAAGGATGTGGTGGGGCGGGGTGGGGAACCTGCCCAGGGGGCCCAGCCCTGGGGCGGGGCGGGGGCGCCTCCTTCCGGCCCGCGGTCCGGGCGGCCCTCGCAGCTGTCCAGGCCACAGCAAGCCCGGGAGTGGTGTCCGAGCGGACGAATAAATAGGGGTGGTCAGTCGTCAGGTGGGTCAGGTGGGCTTGTGATCCGGGTGGCTTTTGAGCGTGTGGAACTTGACGCTGTCCAGCTTCTCAAAGCGCTTCCCGCAGCGATCACACGTGAAGTTATACTGCACCTCCGCAGTGTGCTTCTTCATGTGCCAGTTGAGGGACGCCCGCTGCCGGCACTGGTAGCCACAGATCTCGCACCTGCCAGGAGCCCGTGGTGGCACGGGGCGGGATCAGAGTGGGCGGGGCGGGGCCCTACAAGGCCGAGCGCAGGTGGAACTGGGCCCAGGCACTGTGTGGGGGCGAAGCCGCCCCTGGGACCTGCTGGGATCCCCTCCCCACCCAATCCTCTAGCGGCACGGGGCGGCCTGTCACTCACTGCAGGGGAGTCTCGCCGGTGTGCGTGCGCCGATGTACCTCCAGGTGGTTCTTCCTCTTGAAGGACTTGCCGCAGGTCTCGCAGGTGAATTCACGGACACCTGGGGGAGGTGGGGACCGAGGCTGAGGACGGTGGGCTATGGGGTGTCTCTGATGTGCTGCAGACTGTGATGCTAGAAGGAGCATCGGGCTGTGTATCCTTGGATCTCCCAGGACTGCAGGTGCAGGCCGACCGAACCCTACGTCCTTCCCACGCAATTGCCCAGAAACGCAATCAAGCAGAGCTGAGATCGAACTTGGGTCCCTGAGGGGCATAGGGTGCAAACTGCCAAGCCAACGTGGGTTTGAATTTGTCGTGTGTGTGTGTGTGTGTGTGTATGTGTATTTTGAGATGGAGTTTCGTTCTTGTTGCCCAGGCTGGAGTGCAATGGCCCAGTCTCGGCAACCTCTGCCTCCCGGGTTCAAGCCATTCTTCTGCCTCAGCTTCCCGAGTAGCTGGGATTACAGGCGTGCGCCACCCACCATGCCCAACTAATTTTGCATATATATATATATTTTTTTTTTTTTTTTTTTTTTGAGTCAGAGTCTCGCTCTGCCGCCCAGGCTGGAGTGCAGTGGCCGGATCTCAGCTCACTGCAAGCTCTGCCTCCCGGGTTCACGCCATTCTCCTGCCTCAGCCTCCCGAGTAGTTGGGACTACAGGCGCCTGCCACCGCGCCCGGCTAATTTTTTGTATTTTTTAGTAGAGACGGGGTTTCACTGTGTTAGCCAGGATGGTCTCGATCTCCTGGCCTCGTGATCCGCCCGTCTGGGCCTCCCAAAGTGCTGGGATTACAGGCTTGAGCCACCGCGCCCGGCCAATTTTGCATATTTAGTAGAGACGGGGTTTCTCCACGTTGGTCAGGCTGGTCTCGAATTCCTGACCTCAGGTGATCTGCCCGCCTCGGCCCCCAAAGGGCTGGGATTACCACCGTGCCCAGTCTTGTCCTCGATATTTGAACTTTGGGTGATTTTGCATAAAAAAGAAATCTTCTGCCCAGCGGCTCACACCTATAATCCCAGCACTTTAGGAGGCCAAGGAGGGCAGATTGCCTGAGGGCAGGAGTTGGAGACCAGCCTGGCTAACATGGCGAAACCCCGTCTCTACTAAAAAAAATATACAAAAATTGACTGGTGTGGTGGTGGGCGCTGTAATCCCAGATACTTGGGAGGCTGGGGCAGAAGAATTGCTTGAACCTGGGAGACAGAGGCTGCAGTGAGCTGAGATCAGATTCCCGCCTGGGCAACAGAGTAAGACTCCATTGCAAAAAATAACCATATACACATAAAGAAAAAAAAAACCCCAAACTTCTGATCTCCTGTGATATCAGCAGCTCTGGCCCTCAGCGCCATGCCCTATCGCTGGACACAGGCACCATGGCTCTCCACTGGGTCCCTAGCCCAGGCAAAAGACCTGCATCTCTGCCGCAAGTGGAAACAGAAGCCCAGTCCCAAGCCAGCTGCTCCTCTCTGCCCAGCTCTCCTTCCTGCTGCTGCTTGGGTGGGTACTGGTCTGGCCTGTGGCCCCAGGTGCTATTATAGGTTCCAATCTGGAAGAGCAGTGGCGGTGTCAGCTGCTCCCTAAGTCTTGCATGAGATCTGCTCATGAGCATGGGGTTGTGGGAATAGGAGGGAAGAAGGCCAGCCCCACCCAATTCCTGTGATTGATTGGTAACAGTCCCTGTCGCTGTGGCTCACATAGTTACAGCTTACTGAGGACAGGGAGGAAGCTCCTGGGGTGTAGCCCTGTGCCTGGAGACCCAGCACTGGGCTTTGACCCGCCAGCCCTGGCCCAGGCTCCCAGCCCCATGTCCCTGTGTCCCCTGCTCATGCAGCCAGCTGGCCCAGGGCCTGACCTGAATGGATGATCATGTGCCGCCGCAGGTGGTTGGATAAATAGAACTTCTTGCCACAGCCAGGATGAGGGCACACTTTGGTCTTTCCTTTCCGATGCACAAGATTGACGTGGTTCTGGGGACGAGACGGGCAGGAGTGGGTCCCACAGGCCCACGGAAGGGGCTCTGGGAGGTGGGGAGAGATGAGGGCAGCTGGAAGGCAGGCTGGGGCTGGCCTCCCCAGGAGAAGGCGAAGAGGTGTACCCTTGCCCAGCTCAGAGATTCCCAGGGGCACAACTGGGGTTAAAAGGCAGCTTTTCTTTTTTATTTTTTGAGATGGAGTGTTGCTCTGTCGCCCAGTCTGGAGTGCAGTGGTGCAATCTCGGCACACTGCAAGCTCTACCTCCCAGTTTCATGCCATTCTCCTGCCTCAGCCTCCCGAGTAGCTGGGACTACAGGCACCTATCACCACACCGGCTAATTTTTTCTTTTTGTATTTTTCAGTAGAGACGGGGTTTCACTGTGTTAGCCAGGATGGTCTCGATCTCCTGACCTCGTGATCTGCCCGCCTCAGCCTCCCAAAGTGCTGGGATTACAGGTGTGAGCCACCATGCCCGGCCAAGGGCAGTTTTATTGAACACCTACTATATGCCAGGCTCTGGACTGGGGTATCTGTCAACTCTGTGAAGGGCCCAGCTATTAGCCCAATTAATCGATGGGGAAACTGAGGTTCAAGGCTCAGTGGTTTGGCCAGGGTCTTACAGGTGGCCAGTGGCAGGACTGGGATTGGATTTGAGGGCTGTCAGCCCCCATGGGCCTGGAACAGGCAGCCCCAGTTGATTCATTCCTTTATTCTTTCCCTGTTTAATTTACTAGAGCAACCCTGGCTCCAGCTTGCAGGCCTGGCTTGCACTAGGTGCTTAACACATGCTCAATCAAAGCATGGCATGGCACATTCAAAGGCCTCTTGTTGCATCCTCCCACGCCAGGTGTGGGGTGTGACAAGTCCCTGTCTTTGCCTTCAGAGGCACCTCGTCAAATTCCAAGGGACAAACTAGAGGTAGGACACCCTGGTGGTGCCATGGCCTGGGCCTTGTGGGCCTGGCCCAGGCTGCTCCGGGTGGCGGCCTCACCTGGAAGCTGCTGAGGGCCACGTAGACTTGGCTGCAGCCCTCGTATGGGCAGTGGAACATCTCCAGCAGGCCGTCAGCGTCCATCACCCGCGACCGCTTGCTCCGCCGCCTCCTGGAGGGGAAGGGGCCATGACATCAGGGCTCCCACACCAGGCAGGCTGGGGGACTGCGGGCCGCTCCTAGCCCTCGCCCTCACCCTTGCCCACCCCGGCACCCACTTTTCGGGCTCCTTGGGGATTTCGTAGATGATGGCTGACATATCGCTGCCGTCCAGCTCCTCCCCGTCTGCCTCTGCCTCGGGCTCTGCGCTTTCAGGCACCGTCGTTGCCAGTTCCGGGGCTACTGGCTCCTCCTTCTCCTCCTTCTTGAGCAAGCATAGGTCCTCCTTCTCTACGGGGTGGACACAGGGTGGTGTCCGCAGGGGACGAAGGCTGCCAAGGTGCCCACTTCAAGGGCCACTCCTCACCCGGCCCCTCCCAGGCCCAACCACCCCTGGCCAGAGGCCATGGCAGCTCCCCCAGACCTTTCTTGGTCTCGATGCCTGCTACTGCAGTGGCGTCCGTGGTGCTAGGCTGGCTACCCTCGGGCTCTGTCTGGGTGTAGGCCGCCACACCCTCCATCATGGCACAGGGCCCCTCCTCGCCCAGGCCACCGCCGGGGGCACCGCTGCCCGCTGCCATGTTGAGGTGAATGCCCTCAGCCGTGAGAGCGTCGTAGCCAGGGCCCGCGATGATGATCACCTGTGAGCCGGGCACCATGCCTGGCATGGGGCAGCTGGCCACCACCTCACCCAGGGCCTCCTGCGGCATGTTCTCAAAGAGGGCGCCGGGGCCCGCACCCACTTGCACAGGCACCGGCACGCACACCACCGTCTCCAGGGCTTCAGGCCCACTGCCTGCCGGGTTGGGGCACAGCGGGGTACCCTGCTCAGCCAGGCTCTCCACATGGTGGACGTCAAAGGGGATGTGCACGCCCTCCTGAGTGATGAGCCCGCTGCTGCCCACCGGGCTGGTGGGCGTCACCGCCGCTGCCGCTGCTGCAGCCTTGACTGGCTGGCCTTCAGGGGGCTCCTCAGAGTCAGAGCCAGAGCCAGAGCTGGACGAGTCGGAGCTGCCGGCCACCAGCCCATTGCCCACTGTGGGGACAGAAGAAAGGGAATGGTTATGATAGCTGCAGCCACTGGTATTTGTTTATTTAGTTTTTATTTTATTTTTCTCTTTTCTTTCTTTTTTTTTTGAGACAGAGTCTTACTCTGTCGCACAGGCTGGAATGCAGTGGTGCAATCTCAGCTCACTGCAACCTTGGCATCCCAGTTCTAGTGATTCTCCTGCCTCAGCCTCCCAAGTAGTTGGGACTACAGGCGTGCGCCACCACACCTGGCTAATTTTTGTATTTTTTGTAGAGACGGAGTTTCACCATTTTGGCCAGGCTGGTCTTGAACTCCTGACCTCAAGTCGTCCGCCCACCTCAACCTCCCAAAGTGATGGAATGACAGTCGTGAGCCACCGTGCCTGGCTGAATTTTTATTTTTTTCTGTTTTGAGATGGAGTCTCGCTCTGCCAACCAGGCTGGAGTGTAGTGGCACAATCTTGGCTCACTGAAAGCTCTACCTCCCAGGTTCACGCCATTCTCTTGCCTCAGCCTCCCGAGTAGCTGGGACTATAGGCGACCGCCCCCAAGCCTGGCTAATTTTTTGTATTTTTAGTAGAGATGCGGTTTCACCTGTTAGCTGGGATGGTCTCGATCTCCTGACCTTGTGATTCGCCCACCTCGGCCTCCCAAAGTGCTGGGATTACAGGCGTGAGCCACTGAGCCCGGCCTGAATTTTTCTTTCCTTTTTTTTTGAGACAGAGTTTTGTTCTGTCACCCAGGTTGAGTGCAATGGCATGATCTTGGCTCACTGCAACCTCTGCCTCCTGGGTTCAAGTGATTCTCCTACCTCAGCCTCCCAAGTAGCTGGGATTACAGGCACGCACCACCACACCTGCCTAATTTTTGTATTTTTGATAGAGACGGGATTCCCCATTTTGGCCAGGCTGGTCTCGAACTTCTGACTGCAGGTGATCCGCCCACCTGGACCTCCCAAAGTGCTGGAATTACAGACATGAGACACCTCGTGTGGCCCTGATTTTTCCAAGTAGAGATCAGGTCTTGTTACACTACCCAGGCTGGCCCTGAACTCCTGGGGTCCAGTGATTCTCCCACCTTAGCCTCCCAAAGTGTTGGGATTACAGGTGTAAGCCACATGCCCGGCCAGCGGTTGGTATTTGTTGCGGGCTCTTCAGGGGCTGGACAGTAACCCTCTCACTGCCTAAAACAGCAATCACTTCTCAATCCCCACTGTCCCTAACTGTTCCAAGATGACTGACCCAGCTGACTACCCCTACTCCAGGGCACACTCCTCTCTCAGCCCTCAGACCCACACTCTGGTGTCTTGGGCCCTTCCTGTGGCTCCTTCCAAGTTTATTTGGTTCTTGCAGGCCTGGAAGGCTCGGCCCGGGGCCTCTCCTCAGTGCTCACCTTACCCCCAGGCTTGCCCAGGCTGATGGGGTTAAAGGCCACCCTCCGATTCTTGATGCCAACTGAATGTCCAATAATTCAATCCAATCTGACATTATCTTCCTGGAATGGGCGTCAAATCCTCCAAGTTAAAGTGGCTCAGGTCCCACAGGAGACCGCACTAGGATCAGACTGTAGCTCTAAAATACAAAAAATGCGGCCTGTTGGGCCCTGTAGTGTCTGACTGGGGCAAATGGCGTAATGGGGGGAGCTTGCGTGGCAATCGACTCTATCCTGGCGACAGAGGAGTATCCGTTCAAAAAAAAAAAAAAAAAAAGCTCAGCCACAGACCCTGACTCAGATCAGTCAATGGCTACCTTATTTGACATGGCATAATGGGGGTTCTATGCTTATTCAGTTTGAAAGTTAGAAACTCACAGGAAGTTCTATGAGTTTATTATAAGGATCAATGCCAAAAGTTTTTTTGTTGTTGTTGTTGTTTGTTTTTTTTGAGACAGAGCTTTGCTCTGTTGTGTAAGCTGTAGTGAAGTGGTGCAATCTCGGCTCACTGCAGCCTCCGCCTCCCGGGTTTAAGTGATTCTCCTGCCTCAGCCTCCAGAGTAGCTGGGACCATAGGCATGCGCCACCACACCAGGCTAATTTTTTTTTTTTTTTTTTTTTTTTTTTTTTTTTTGGTATTTTTAGCAGAGACGGTGTTTTATCATGTTGGCCAGGCTGGTCTGGAACTCCTGACCTCAGGTGATCTGCCTGCCTCGGCCTCCCAAAGTGCTGGGATTAGAGGCATGAGCCACCGCGCCTGGCTAAGTATGTATTCTTATTATCACTACAACCACCCAGGGCCTGGTGACTCCATGTGCAGCTTCTGCCTAGACCTCCATGTCGAGCTCCAGATTCTTCCATCTCACTGGCCCCCTAAGAGGGTCTCACAGGCATCTCAAACTCAGATCTGCAACACTGAGCTCTGTATCTTCCCTCCCACAAGGCCTGCATTGCTCACGGGTGTCCATGACTCAGCGGATGGCAGCTCAGTCTCTCCAGTGGCTCAGGCCAAAGTCCTGGGGCTCTTCTTGACTTCTCTCTCACACCCACTTCCAATCTGTCAGCAAAACCTGTTGGTGCTGCATCCAAACTACATCCACCTGCAGCCTGACTGCTTCTCCCACTTCCCCTGCAGATGCTAGTCATGACCCCACCAGCCTCCTGCCAGGGCCAGGGCAGTCCCTTCTGTTGGGTCCCCGGCTCCTGAGAACCTGCTCTTTACCTCCTGTGAAAAAGGCAGGTTAGCTGCTCACTAAATCCCTCTGTTCCTGGCACCAGCACTGACTACACTTCCCAGCATCCCTTGCGGGTAGGTGTGGCCGTGTGGCAATGGAATGCAAGTGAACAGGTGCTCCCAAGGTTGAGCCTCCACTTTTCTCCCCACCTGCCAGCCAGGATCCAGAAGGAGGCTGGAGCCATAGGAAGGAAAGAACCTGGGTCCACGGATGAAAGGCAGTCTGCAGGATGGAAGCACCAGGCTTTGTGTGTGGGAAACAAACTACTGTGCCAGGTCATAAGAGCGGGGGTGTGTCTGTTTCAGGAGGTGTTCCATCACTTTCTGCCCTCGCCTCCTCTCCTAATGTCCTTGGAGACACTAGATAAGTTCCTGTCTCAAGGCCTTTGCACCTGCCATTCCCTCGGCTTGAATCTTCTTTTTTTTTGAGATGGAGTCTTGCTCTGTCACCCAGGCTGGAGTGCAGTGGCGCAATCTCGGCTCACTGCAAGCTCTGCCTCCTGGGTTCATGCCATTCTCCTGCCTCAGCCTCACAAGTAGCTGGGACCACAGGCGCCTACCACCACGCCCGGCTAATTTTTTTTATTTTTAGTAAAGACGGGGTTTTACCGCATTAGCCAGGATGGCCTCGATCTCCTGACCTCGTGATCCGCCTGCCTCGGCCTCTCAAACTGCTGGGATTGCAGACGTGAGCCACTGCGCCTGGCCGGCTTGAATCCTCTTCTGTCTGACATCTGAGAGGGCTCCTCCTTCCCCTCCATCAGACCCTTCATTAAAGGGTATTTTTTCCGGGGGAATTTCCTGACCATTCTGCCTCAAATAGTTCCTTTTTCCCTCCTTTATTTTTTCCCAAAGCACGTACCACCTTACAGTGCACTCTATATTTTATTTTATTTTTGAGATGGAGTTTCACTCTTGTCACCAGGCTGGAGTGCAATGGTGCAATCTCAGCTCACTGCAACCTCCACCTCCCTGGTTCAAGTGATTCTCCTGCCTCAGTCTCTTGAGTAGCTGGGATTACAGGCATGCCTGACCATGCCCCGCCAATTTTTACATTTTTAGTAGAGACGATGTTTCACCATATTGGACAGGCTGGTCTCAAACTCCTGACCTCAAGTGATCCACTCGCCTCAGCCTCCCAAAGTGCTGGGATTACAGGTGTGAGCCACCACCCCCGGCCTATATTGTAATTAATTTATTTTTTTCTTGAGACAGTGTCTCCCTCTGTCACCTAGGCTGGAATGCAGTGGCACAGTCATAGCTCACTGCAGCCTCGGGCTCCTAGGCTCAAGCGATCCTCCTGCTTCAGCCTCCTAAAGCACTGGGAGAGGTGCACCACCATGCCCAGCTAACTTTTTTATTTATTGCTAGAGATGGGGTCTCACTATGTTGCCCAGGCTGTTCTCTAAGTCCTGGCCTCAAGCAATCCTAACTTGGCTTCCCAAAGCACTGCGATTACAGGCTTGAGCCACTGTGCCTGGCCTATGCTCTATATTTTTATTGGTTTATCCTGCTTACAATCCGCTTCCCCTCAAGAATGTAAACTCTGTAAGGCTGTGGGGTCCCTGTGCAGAGCCCGCCGTGCTGAGAAGGTTGCCTGGTGCGCAGTGAGGGTTCGTTCCAATAAATGAATGAATCTTCATTCCCCGATCTTGGCTCATTGCAGCCTCTGCCTCCCGGGTTCAAGTGATTTTCATGCTTCTGCCTCCCAAGTAGCTGGAAGTACAGGCATGCACCACCACACCTGTCTAATTTTTTGTATTTTTAGTAGAGACTGGGTTTTGCCATGTTGCCCAGGCTGGTCTTGAACTTCTAGCCTCAAGTGATCCATCTGCCTTGGCCTCCCAAAGTGCTGGGCTGGCATTACAGGTGTGAGCCACTGTACCTGGCCCTTGGGAGTGTTTTGGTTGTTTTTGTTTGTTTGTTTTAGACAGAGTCTTGCTCTGTTGCCTAGGCTGGAATGCAGTGGCATGATCTTGGCTCACTGCAACCTCCGCCTCCTGGGTTTCAGTGATTCTTCTGCCTCACCCTCCCAAGTAGCTAGGACTGCAGGCTTGCGCCACCATGCCCAGCTCATTTGTGTATTTTTAGTAGAAATGGGGTTTCACCATGTTGGCCAGGCTGGTCTTGATCTCCTGGGCTCAAGTGATCCACCTGCCCGGCCTCCCAAAGTGCTGAGATTGGCTGGGTGTGGTGGCTCACGCCTGTAATCCCAGCACTTTGGGAGGCCAAGGCAGGCAGATCACAAGGTCAAGAGATCGAGACCATCCTGGCCAACGTGGTGAAACCCTGCCTCTACTAAAAATACAAAAATTACCTGGGAGTGGTGGCGCATGCCTGTAGTCCCAGCTACTCAGGAGGCTGAGGCAGGAGAATCGCTTGAACCTGGGAGGCGGAGCTTGCAGTGAGCCGAGACTGCCCCATTGCACTCCAGCCTGGGCAACAGAGTGAGACTTTGTCTCAAAAACAAAACAAAATAAAACCAAAGTGCTGAGATTACAGGTGTGAGCCACTGCGCCCAGCCTTTGTTTTGGGTCTTTAGTGAGTAAATATGTATAAGGGCTTAGGACAGCAGGAGACTCAAAGTAGGCACTCTGTAAGTTTCCTATTATCTCAGTGCCATTCAGGGCAGTGAGATGCCCACTCTTGATGGACCTGGGGTGGCAGCAGGGTTGGGGATAAGGAGGATCAGCCCCTCTTTTTAAATCATTTTCCCTTGTCCTGTATTCTGCAGGGTGGGCAAACCCCCGGCACCATCCTGAAGGAGGGGGCAGTTGCTTAATGAGCGGAGGGAAGGGCCAGAACAAGCGTCTGGGTCCACCTGACTGCAGCGTCTGCTAAGTCTGGCTGACCCCAGACTTCTCCCCAGGTAATGACAGCACCAACGGAAATAGCCATGGGCAAGGCACAGTGGCATATGCCTGTAATCCCAGCACTTTGGGAGGCCAAGGTAGGAAGATTACTAGATCCCAGGAGTTTGAGACCAGCCTGGGCAACACAGTGAGATCCCATCTCTACAAAAAATTTAAAAATTAGCTGGCTGTGGTGGTGTGTGCCTGTGTTACCAGCTACTCAGGAGGCCAGGGTGGGAGGATCACTTGAGCCCAGGAGTTGGAGGCTGCAGTGAGCTATGATTGCACCACTGCACTCCAGCCTGGGCAACAGAGTGAGACCCTGTCTCTAAAAAAGTAAATAAAAATAAAAAATTAGCCAGGTACAGTGGCTCACACCAGTAATCCCAGCACTAAGGGAGGCCAAGGCAGGGGGATCACTTGAGGCCGGGAGTTCAAGACCAGCACTGCCAAAGCGGTGAAAATCCATCTCTACTAAAAATACAAAAATTAGCTGGGCATGGTGGCTCACGCCTGTAATCCCAGCTACTGGGGAGGCTGAGGTGAGAGAACTGCTTGAACCCGGGAGGCAGAGGTTGCAGTGAGCCAAGATCTCACCACTGCACTCCAGCTTGGGTGACAGAGAGAGACTCTGTCTCAAAAAAAATAAAATAAAATAAGGCTGGGTACAGTGGCTCATGCCTGTAATCCCAGAACTTTGGGAGGCCAAGGTGGGTGGATCACCTGAGGTCAGGAGTCTGAGACCAGCCTGGCCAACATGGTGAAACCCCATGTCTACTAAAAATACAAAAATTAGCTGGGTGTGGTAGCAGGTGCCTGTAATCACAGCTACTCGGGAAGCTGAGGAAGGGGAATCGGTAGAACCTGAGGGTTGGAGGTTGCAGTGAGCCGAGATCATGCCATTGCACTCCAGCCTGGACGGCAAGAGTGAGTTGGGGCATAAGTAAGCTGCTCTGGGCACCACCCACACCCCAGCCTGACCCATCACCAAATGGGTCAGTCAGACCACTCCTGGGGCTTGGGGTTCCTTGACTGCCAAGTGGGGCTGATAACAAGGCCATGCGGAAGATTCATGGTGGCTCTGGGCAGGGCCAGGAGTGGCATACAGTGAGGAGGGCAGTAAAAGGCAGAGGAGGGCGGAAGGCAGGTCCCAGATCATGGGACGGGGCAGCCGAGGGGCCACTGCACGCTGGGAGCCTGTCCAACACTTGGTGGGACGGTCGTTGGCGAGGGTGCCCACCCGGAACACCTCTCGCCCCCGGCTTCCCCTTGGCCAGCTGGGATGCCACCTGCTCCGAGATGCCAGCCAGCGCAGGCTCAGCCCCGGTGACTGCCCCACCCTCAGCCCTGACAGGACGCCTGGCAGTGTGCCCCACACTCCTTCTCCAGCCAATGCCAAACCCCTGAGGCTGCCGGCAGCCCCCTTACCACTCACCGGGGCCAACTGGGCCTCCCTCACTGAGTGCCTGCCCCATGGGATGGGAAGGAGAGAGGCAGGGACTGTGAGGGTGCGGATGGAGGAGGAGAAAGGGGACGGAAGGAAACAAGAGAAAGAGAGGGAAGGAGGATGAGACAAAGAAAATGAAAGATCAAGGAAGGAGACAGAGGCAGCTCAAGGGAGGAGAAATGGGGAACAGGAGGGGAACAGAATGGAGGGGGAAGGCAAGAAGCAAAGCCTGGAAAGGCAGAAGGTGAGAGAATGCAACGGGGAGCCGGAGAAAATCAAAAAGGAGGTAGCGGCCAGCTTAGCCAGGGCTCAGGAGAGCATCACAGCCTATGGAGCCATAAGGCCTGGGTGGTTTAGGCGGCCGTTTCACCGTGGGGGCCGAGCCCTGCCCCAGCAGGCCTGCCCCCGCCCCAGCTGCCAAGCCAGGGCTCCTGGGCCCTCAGCCAGCCCTGCTCGGGACTGGCCTTGGGCACAGATGGGCAAACTGCTCCGTCAAGAGGAACTGCCTCCCCGTTTGGGCTCTGTAAGGACTCAGAGGGCAAGGCCACGAAGGGCTCGGCCTGGCCCACCGTGTCCCTGCTCTGTCCCACTGCCAGAGCCAGAGCCACTGTGGCCACTATTCTGTTTGTGATGCTAGCCTAGGGCTAGTAAGAAGCCCCCAGACATGGGCGGCCCCCGATGTGCCCTCGCCCCACAGACCCACCTTTGTCACTGTCTGGGTCTGAGTCACTGAGGGGCTTCAGGGGCGAGTGCAGGTCCTGGAAGTAGCGGTGGCCAGCTTCGCACTGCCACACGGCCGTGGTGTACAGGCCGAAAGTGGGGTCTAGCTCCACCAGGTGCGGCTCGTACGGGCAGCGGTGCTTGTGGTCCTCATACCAGATCACCACGTTCTTCAGGCAGTTCACGTTGCGTCGCCGCCCTGTGGACACAGGGCCGAGGGGTGGGTGTAAGGGACGGGGCTCAGCCCATGGTGACATGGCTGCCTGAACCACCGGGGCCTTATGGGTCCCATGGGTTGGGAGGCCCTCCTGACTGCCATCCAGGCCTGCACCCAGTTTAGAGGGGGAAACTGAGGCTCAGAGAGGAGAAGCACCCCCTGTAGGTAATGCAGACTGTTCTATTGGCCAAGTCATGTAAACAGTGGAGCCTGGCGCACAGTAGGTGCATAATAATTGTTAGCTGCTTATTATTGTTCTCATCTTCATCAAACGCCTAGACCAGTGCAATCCTCAGGCCCACGACTCCCAGGCTCCCACCCTAACGAGCCCCTGCAGCCGCAAGAGGGCGCCTGTGAACACCCCAGTCAAGTCTGTTCCCTCCTCTGCTCAGAATCCACCATGAGGGCCAGGCGCAGTGACTCACACCTGCAATCCTAGCGCTTTGGGAGGCAGAGGTGGGTGGATCACTTAAGGCCAGGAGTTTGAAACCAGCCTGGCTAACATGGAGAAAACCTATCTTTACTAAAAATACGAAAATTAGCCAGGCATGGTGGTGCATGCCTTTCGTCCCAGCTACTTGGGAGGCTGAGGTAGGAGGATCACTTGAGCCCAGGAGGTAGAGGATACAGTGAGCCGAGGTTGCGACACTGCACTCCAGCCTGGGCGACAGAGCAAGACCACCTTCCTCAGGGTAAAAGCCAAAGTCTTCCCTTCGGCCCACAGGGCCCACTGTGACTTGTGCACCTGGCCCTCACCCGCTTGGTGACTCCACTCCACTCCACTCCAGCCACACAGCCTCCTCGCTATTCCTGGAGGGGTCTAGGTGTGGCCCACTCAGGGCCTTGGCACGGGCTGTGCCTGCTTCCTCCAGATAACTGTCTTGCTCCCTCCCCACTTCACTCAGGTCTCCCCCAAATGCACCCTCTCCGAGAGGCCGCTCCCTGCCCAGTCACTCTAGCCAATCTTAGCTTGCTGTCCGTTTTCTCCAGGTAGTACCTAGATGCCATCTGCGGCCATTTGTTTACATGTGCCCTGTCTGTCTCTCCCACCAGAATGTCAGCTGCTCAAGAGCAGGAACACTGCTGTTTTGTTCCTCCTGTACCCCCAGTGCCCCCACAGGGCCTGGTACACAGCAGGCGCTCCAGGAACATTTGCTGGATGAAAGAACACTGTATAAAGGGTGGGCATGGTGGAGCCGGACCGCCTGGGTTTGAATCCTAGCTCTGCCCCTTCCAAGCTGGGTAGCTCCGGGCAAGTGACTCAGCTTCTCTGAGTCCCAGGGGCCTCCTCTGGGCTGGGGAGAATAAGGGATTCCCATCCCTGAGGGCTGCCAGGCAGGAGGGAGGGAGTGAAGACATCTCCAGGACGCAGAACAAGGCTGGGCACACAGTGAGTGCTGGGAAATGCTATCTGACTCGTGTGATGGTCCTGGTCCCTCGGCCAAGCGCGAGGACAGCATGTCCCCCACTCCTGTGGGCCGGGAGATGAAGAGGGGCCCAGAAGAGGTGTTTGGGTCTAGGGAATGCGCCCAGACTCTCCAACCATGAGGGCAACAGAGTCATCACCCACAGCCGCCTCTCCAGCCCAGTCCTTTCCCTTCTCATTGCGCTCCTCATCCCTTGAGGCTTCAGGGTGAAGGTCATGGCTCCCCCCCGCCTCTGGAGAATCCTAAGAAGGGGAGGGGCTCACTGCCACCAGCTGGCCTTCACCCTGCTGGACATGGCCTGCGACCCCTAGCTCCAGAGCTCAGAGCTGAGCAGACCCTGGCTGTTCAGACTCCCACCGACTGGTGGCCAGCAAGACAGGAGGGGCAAGCTCCAGACCTCCCCTCTAACCACCAGTGCCTGGCTCCCCCTGCCCTTAGGGCTCTGCACAAGCTGTTCCCTCTGCTTGGCTCTCCCCTGGCTGACTCCCATGCCGGGAGCAAGAGACTGAGGGAGCCAAGGACACTGCCTGAGACATGAGACACGCAGACCTGGGTTTGAAGTCTGGCTCTGCTGGTTCCAACTGTGCTGCCCAGGGCAGCGACCTGGCCTCTCTGGGCCTTGATTTCCATATTCCCACCACTCCCAACTCTTCCCACCTCCCCCAGGCTGAGCCTCCACTTACTTTTCTTCCGCTTTGGCTTTTTGGGGACCTGCTCCCAAGGCTTCCTGCAACAGAGAGAGGCAGTGAGAGTGAACGCAGGGCCAGCGCTGGGTCTGTCTGACCCGTAAGTAATTACAGTGACTAAAGCCACTGCTCATTGTGCACTGAAACGAAATCTCAACTTTTTTTTGTTTTTGAGATGGAGTCTCGCTCTGCTGCCCAGGCTGGAGTGCAGTGGTGAGATCTCAACTCATTGCAGCCTCTGCCTCCCAGGTTCCAGCGATTCTCCTGCCTAAGCCTCTCAAGTAGCTGGAATTACTATAGGTGCACGCCACCACACCCGGCTCATTTTTGTATTTTTAGTAGAGATGGGGTTTCACCATGTTGACAAGGTTGGTCTTGAACTCCTGACCTCAGGTGATCTGCCCACCTCCGCCTCCTAAAGTGCTGGTATTACTTTGGGAGTAATACCAAGGTATTACTTGGCTGGTGAGCGGCCACGCCTGGCCTGAACTTTTTTTTTTTTTTTGGAGGCAAGGTCTTGCTCTGTTACCCAGGCTGGAGTGCAGTGGCGCAATCTCAGTTCACTGCAATCTCCACCTCCCGGGTTCAAGCGATTCTCCTGCCTCAGCCTCCTGAGTAGCTGGGATTACAGGCTAATTTTTGTATTTTTAGTAGAGACAGGGTTTCACCATGTTGGTCAGGCTGGTCTTGAACTCCTGACCTTGTGATCTGCCTGCCTCAGCCTCCCAAAGTGCTGGGATTACAGGCGTGAGCCACCGCTTTTTGAAGGAGTCTAGCTCTATCACCCAGGCTGGAGTGCGGTTGTGCGATCTCGGCTCACTGCAGCCTCCGCCTCCCAGATTCAAGCGATTCTCGTGCTTCTAGAGTAGCTGGGATTACAGGCATGCACCACTATGCCCAGCTTGTGTGTGTGTGTGTGTGTGTGTGTGTGTGTGTGTAGCTGGGATTACAGGCATGCACCACTATGCCCAGCTAGTGTGTGTGTGTGTGTGTGTGTGTGTGTGTATGTGTGTCTGACCTCAGGTGATCCGCCCATCTCAGCCTCCAAAGTGTTGGGATTACAGGCATGAGCCACTGCGCCCAGCCCGGAATCTGAACTTTTATGTACCTGTCCCCAACTCCAGCACTCAGGCCCCTCGCTTGGACTCTCTCCCCTACTGCCACCAGCCCTGGGAGAGGCCTCTAGCATCATCACCACCTCAAGGAGCAGGAAAAACAGGCTTGGAGGGGTGAGGCCACCTACGCCCTGGGTCCCACAGTCAGGGAGTAGAGAAGTAACAAAGTGGGTATGAAAAGTTGGTGTGGAAGCAGAATTCCAAGATGGCCCCCACAGTTCCCCTGGGATATATGCCCTGTATGATCCTCTTCCCATGAGCAGGGCAGGCCTGTGAGTAGGACTGGATATCAAGCCTTGGTTAGGTGACTGTGAGTTAATCAAAAGGAAGCATATCTTGCAGGGCACAGTGGCTCAAACCTGTAGTCCCAACTACTTGAGAGGCTGAAAGTGGTCTTGGCCCACAGCCAGCAAGACAGTGGGTACTGTCTGGGTGTGGTGTCTCACACCTGTAATCCTAGCACTTTGGGAGGCTGAGGCAGGAGGACTGCTTGAAGCCAGGGGTTCAAGACCAGCCTGGGCAACATAGCAAGACCCCATCTCTATTTATACATTAAAAAAAAAAAAAAGTCCAGGCTCAGTGGCTCATGCCTGTAATTCTAGCACTTTAGGAGGCTAAGGCGGGTGGATCGCTTGAGGCCAGAAGTTGGAGACCAGTCTGGGAAGCATGGTGAAACCCTGTCTCCACAAAAAATACAGAAATTACCCAGGTGGTGGCATGCGCCTGTAGTCCCAGCTACTCAGGAGGTTGAGGTGGGAGGATCACCTGAGCCTGGGGAGGTCAAGGCTGCAGTGAGCCACGATCACGCCACTGCACTCCAGCCTGGGCAAGAGTAAAACCATGTCTCAAAAACAAAGAAACAAACAAAAACAAACAAAAAACGATCGTCATCATGGTACAGCCCTGTCACTTAATCATCAATAAGCAAACGGTACAATGATCATTATGATTATCAGTATCATCATAGAGCCCGGGTCCCCTGGCCTCCCTGCTGTGGCCCAGACCTGCTCTTGCCACAAACATACCGACAACCAGTCTCGTGTCTCTTACCAGCAAAACCGTCCGCCCCGCTGACTCCCGCCCAGCCCTGTACCAATTCTCGGTACCATACCCATCTGGTTCCCAGGACTGCACCTTGGGGCTCTTCCATCCTTCCTGCCCCAGGCTCTGCCCCTGCCGCCGGCTCTGCTCTTCCAGGTCCCATCCCATGTGACTCTATCCCTTCCCACGCTCCACCCTCCCCTGCACATGGCCATACTGGCTGTGGAGACCCCCACCCAACCCAAAACCCAAGTCTGGCTCTGTCACCAAGGTTGGAGTGGAGTAGCGCTATCTCGGTTCACTGCAACCTCTGCCTCCTGGGTTCAAGTGATTCTCCTGACTCAGCCTCCCGAGTAGCTGGGATTACAGACGCCTGCCACCATGCCCAGTTAATTTTTGTATTTTTAGTAGAGATGGGATTTTGCCATGTTGGCCAGACTAGTCTTGAACTCCTGACCTCAAGTGATCTGCCCGCCTCAGCCTCCGAAAGTGCTGGGATTACAAGTGTAAGCCACCATGCCCGGCCCCAAACCCAAGTCCTAATGTCCACAGCCACCTCCACCCACTCACCGCTGGAGGCTGGGAGTGTCACATTGCGGTGGGGACAGTCTTGGGTATCAGCCAGACCCAAGTTCAAGACTCAGCTATCAACTGCCTGTGTGACCTCAAGCAGGTCTTGTCCCCTCTGAGCCTCAGTCTCCCTGTCTGTGAAGTGGAAATAGTAGTAGTGCCTCCCACACAGGATCACCATGGGGAGCAAGCGAGGTCATGTGTAACCTGGTGAGCGCCACTTTCCAACCCCAATGCAGGGCTCTCTCCCTCAAACTGCCTACCTCTCCTGTCCACTTCTCCAACTTCTGCCACTTCTCTGTGACTCCCAGCAGAGGCCACTGGCACCAAGGACCACAGCTACTGGGGCTACTCAGGCCCTGGCTTTGCTGTTCCCTGCGGTTTCCTTTCAGTCTTCACTCAGTCATTCCCACCAGCATCTAGATGTGCCATGATTTCTCCCGTCTTGGATTAAAATCATTTTGATACACACCTTTCCCACCAGCCCGTTCCCCATATCTTTTTTTTTTCTTTTTGAGACAGGGTCTCGTGGTATTGCCCCAGCTGGAGTGCAGTGGCGCCATCAAAGCTTACTGAAGCCTCAACCTCCAGTGCTCAACTGATCCTCTTGCCTCAGCCTCCTGAGTAGCTGGGACTACAGGCATGCACCACCATACCCGGCTAACTTTTGTATTTTTTGTAGAGATCGGGTTTCGCCATGTTGCCCAAGCTGGTCTCAAACTCCTGGGCTCAGGTGATCCTCCTGCTTCAGTCTCCCGAAGTGCTGGGATTACAAGCGTGAGCTACCGCACCCAGCCTCCTTCCTCATTTCCCCCCTTTGCCACGGTCGTCTACACTCGCTGTCTCCATATCCTCTCCTCCGTCTCACTGGAACTCCTCCAGTCAGGGCTTTTCTCCATCACGTCACACACTCTCCCATCACGGTCACCAGTGACGGCCGCTTCACTTGGCCCAACAGCACTGGACGTGACAGACGCTTCCTTTGGCCTCCTGGGCGCTGCCACTGCCCAGTGCTCCACTGGCACTGGGGCTGCTGCTTCTCCCTCACCTCTCTTACCAAGGAGAGCAAATGCCACACTCAGGCCTGTATTTTCTGTCTGAAAGTATCCCTTTAGTAATTTTTTTCTTTTGAGATGGAGCCTCGCTCTGCCGCCCAGGCTGGAGTGCGGTGGCGTGATCTCGGCTCACTGCAACCTCTGCCTCCCGGGTTCAAGCGATTCTCCTGCCTCAGCCTCCTGTGTAGCTGGGACTATAGGCATGTGCCACCAGGCCCAGTGAATTTTTGTATTTTTCGTAGAGACGGGGTTTCAATATGCTGGCCAGGCTGGTCTCGAACTCCTGACTTCATGGTCTGCCCACCTCAGTCTCCCAAAGTGCTGGGATTCAGGTGTGAGCCACCGTGCCTGGACTAATTTTATTTTATTTTTTGAGACAGAGTATTGCTCTGTTGTCCAGGCTGGAGTGCAGTGGCGCCATCTCGGCTCACTGTAACCTCTGCCTCCAAGGTTCAAGCGATTCTCCTGCCTTAGTTTCCCAAGTAGCTGGGACTACAGGTGTGCGCCACCACGCCCAGCTAATTTTTGTATTTTCAGTAGAGACAGGGTTTCAACATGATGGCCAGGCTGGTCTGCAACTCCTGACTTCTCAATCTGCCCACCTTGTCCTCCCGAAGTGCTGGGACTATAGGCGTGAGCCATTGCGCCTGGCCTATTTTTTTTTTTTTTTTGAGACGGAGTCTCGCTCTGTCGCCCAGGCTGGAGTGCAGTGGCCGGATCTCAGCTCACTGCAAGCTCCGCCTCCCGGGTTCACGCCATTCTCCTGCCTCAGCCTCCCGAGTAGCTGGGACTACAGGCGCTCGCCACCTCGCCCGGCTAGTTTTTTGTATTTTTTAGTAGAGACGGGGTTTCACCGGGTTAGCCAGGATGGTCTTGATCTCCTGACCTTGTGATCCGCCCATCTCGGCCTCCCAAAGTGCTGGGATTACAGGCTTGAGCCACCGCGCCTGGCCGCGCCTGGCCTATTTTTATTTTACTTTTTGAGACAGAATCTTGTTCTGTTGCCCAGGCTGGAGTGCAGTGGTACGATCTCAGCTCACTGCAACCTTCACCTCCCTGGTTCAAGCAATTCTCCTCCCTCAGCCTCCCAAGTACCTGGGATTACAGGTGTGCGCCACCGCACCCGGCTAATTTTTGTATTTTCAGTAGAGACAGGGTTTCACCCTATTGGTCAGACTAGTCTCAAACTCCTGACCTCAAGTGATCCACCTGCCTCGGCCTCCCAAAGTGCTGGGATTACAGGTGTGAGCTACCACGCCCCGTCCTTTTTTTTTTAAATTGTTGTCAGGAGTAGCGTGAACCTCCTTGGACTCATCATCAGCTTTACCAATTGTTAACTCTTGGCCAACCTTGTATCACAATGTGTACCCCATCCATTCTTCAAGCCACACACATCCTAGAGACAGTTCCTTCTAAAATATAAACCAGGCTGGGTGCGGTGGTGTGTAACTTGTATTCCCAGCTACTCTGGAGGCTGAGGTGGGAGGATCTCTTGAGCCCAAGAGTTCAAGACCAGCCTGAGCAACATAGCAAGACTGCATCTCAAAAATAAATAAATAAATAAATAAATAAATAAGGAAATAAAAGGCTGGGCACGGTGGCTCACGCCTGTAATCCCAGCACTTTGGGAGGCTGAAGCAGTCAGACCACTTGAGGTCAGGAGTTCGAGACCAGCCCGGCCAACATGGCGAAACCCTGTCTCTACTAAAAATACAAAAATTAGACAGGCATAGGGGCGCACACCTGTAGTCCCAGCTACTTGGGAGGCTGAGGCAGGAGAATTGCTTGAAACCAGGAGGCAGAGGTTGCAGTGAGCTGAGACTGTGCCACTGCACTCCAGCCTGGGTGACAGAGCAAGACTCCATCTCAAAAAATAATAATAAAAATAAGGGGGGGTGGGGGAAATAAAGGCAGACCATACCACTTCTTTCTCTGTACAAAATCTTGCACTTAAGAAAAGGCTCCCACCTCACTGGGAGGAAAAACTGGAGTCCTCTCCACAGCCCTGGATGACCTTCTCTGTCACCAGTCTGTCCTTGTCTTCCCTTCTCCCCCTCACTCATTGCAGTCCAGCCACACAACCCTCTTCAGTGTTCCTGGCACACAACAGGGTCCTGCCTCAGGGCCTTTGCCTTTGCTATTCCCTCTGCCTCAGCTCTTCCCCAGAGATCTGCATGGCTCCTCCTAGGTTCCTTCAGGTCTTTACTGAAATGCTATCTTCTGAACGTGACCATCTTCACTCCCTATTTTAAATTTCAACTCACACTCTTCATTCACTTTTGTTTTTTCCATAGCCCCTATCTCTCTCTAATGGACTACATAACTTACTTAAGTTTCTGGTCTGTAGTAAACAGCCTTTTGCCAGGTATGGTGGCTCACGACTGTAATCCCAGCACTTTGGGAGGCTGAGGAGAGAGGATCCCTTGAGCCCAGGAGTTCAAGACCAGCATGGACAACATAGTGAGACCCCCATCTCCATAAAAAATAAAAAAAAAAACAGCCAGGTGAGGTGGCTCACCTATAGTCCCAGCTACTCGGGGGACTGAGTCAGGAGAATCCCTTGAGCCTGGGAGGTTGAGGCTGCTGTGAGCTATGAACATGCCACTGTACTCTGGCCTGGGTGACAAAGTGAGATCCTGTCTTAAGAACAAACAAACAGGGCTGGGCACAGTGTAATCCCAGCACTTTGGGAGGCTGAGCCCGAAGAATCACTTGAGCCTAGGAGTTTGAGATCAGCCTGGGCAACACAGGGAAACCTCTGTCTCTACAAAAAATACAAAAATTATCCAAGTGGGGTGACGTGCACCTGTGGTCCCAACTACTCAGGAGGCGGAGGTAAGAGGATCACTTGAACCCACGAAGTTGAAGCTGCAGTGAGCCGTGATCATGCCACTGCACTCCAGTCTGGGCGAGAGAGTGAGATCCTGTCTCAAAAAGAAAAATGAGGGCCGGGCGTGGTGGCTCACGCCTGTAATCCCAGCACTTTGGGAGGCCGAGGCAGGTGGATCACAAGGTCAGGAGATCGAGACCATCCTGGCTAACATGGTGAAACCCCGTCTCTACTAAAAATACAAAAAATTAGCCGGGCATGGTGGCAGGCGCCTGTAGTCCCAGGAGGCTGAGGCAGGAGAACAGCATGAACCCGGAAGGCGGAGCTTACAGTGAGCAGAGATTGTGCCACTGCACTCCAGCCTGGGCGAGACTCTGTCTCAAAAAAAAAAAAAAAAAAAAAAAAAAAGGAAAACGAACCAAAAAAAACCCCAGAACTTTGAACAAGCCATCCCCTCTGCCCACCAGAATGTCTGTTCCATGAGGCAGGTATCTTTGTGCTCCCAGCATTTCCAGTCCTGCTCTTGAGCATATAAATCAGCCTGCTGCCCTGGGAAAGGGGTGGGTATAATTCAGCAGGATCTGTTTGATTCTTGACTCTCAGAATCTTCCCCCAGAGAAACATGCGAACATGTGCACCTGAAAACCAGGGCAGAACAAGGATTTCCTTGCAGCACTGCTTGTCATAGGTAATAAATATCATCCTTGTAAAAGTTAATACTTAGGGAACCCACTACCTGCCAGGCACTGTTCTAAGCTCTTTGCCTATTTTAACTCAATCATCCCATCAACGTATAAGGCAGGAAGGGAAAAACTCCATCCACACTGCTCCTTCTCAAGATAGATAATTTACTTTACAAAGACAGGCCTCTCTGCCCTCCACCTGCCCAGCTACCTAGCCGTTTCCTCTTCATCCGAGTATCCCTGGGCTGAGTTGCTTCACAGAAATAGGTTTAGGGGAGTGAAGTCCAGGTTGTGAACAGTCCCCCGGGTGTGCTGGATCTAGGGTTGCGAGAATGGGGCCATACGGAGTCCCAGATGGGGCACCAGAACTTCAGGAAGGGCAGGGCTGAGTGCCCCAGGGTGCCCAGAGTACCAGGCCAGGTGGGGAATTATGCGGGGGAGGATGAGACCGGTGAGGGGGCGGGGCTGCCCCTCCAGGGACCGGGTAGTTACAAGGCCTGGAGGTGGGGCCAGTCCCAGGATTGGGCCGCCAGAGTTCTAGCGGGCGGGGCCCAGCGCTCAGAAGGCGGGTACAGGGGCTGGGTGCATCCTAGGATTGGACAGTCGAAACGATGGGAGGCGGGGCCACGAGCCAGGCGCGTCCCGGCCTGGCAGTCGGAGACCCAGGCCGGCGGTCCGGCTCCTGGGCGGGGCCCGCAGGTACCGGGGGCAGGGCCTCAAGGCGGAGGGGCGGGGCAAAGCCCGGCAGGGGCTGGGGGCATCTCCTCCCTCCCTCCTTTGGGGCCAGGCCCCCTCACCCGTGGCGGCCGCTTCGCTGGCCGCGCTCCAGAGAGATGAGGTAGGCGGCGAGCTTGGCGTCGCTCCAGCCGCTGCGGCGCCGCAGGTCCACCCAGGGCCCGTGCGCCTCGCCCAGGTACACGCGCCGCACGTCGTACTTCTTCCGGGACTCGAGCCGTCGCCGGGCCCGGTCCGACTCCGTGAGTCGCGGCCGGCCCCGCGCCTTTCGGCCCGCTGCGCCCTCCTCGGCTGCTGCCTCCCCGCCCGCGCCCGCCTCAGCCTCCGCCTCCGCCTCGGGCTCCGGCGCCCGCTCCGCCATCCCCCCCACCTTGGTTACCAGCCTCCCCCGTTGTTAGGAGCCGGACCGGAAGTGGCGCGCATCTTCAGCGCCGCCGAGAAATTTCTCACGGTCTCTCGCTGCCCTGGGGCGCCAAAAGGAGACTAAGAACGGAAACTGCGCATGTGCACAACCAACAGCGCCCCCCACCCCTTTTTGATTAAACTTTCTAACTTCGCTTGAAGGGGGAGAACCAGAAGAGCCTGCAGATCCTGGAGGGGTCTCGCCTGCCCATCGCTGGCAGCCTGAGATCCTGGGGAGGGAATGCTACACTGCCAGAGAGGAGGGAAGGGAGCCCCAAGCAGGAAAACATTTATTTGCTGTACACTCAAAGGGCATCTCATGCCTTCAGTCCACCGCCGCCTCGGGCCACAGCCTGTGCCCTCACGCCCGCTCAGACTCAGCTCTGGCCCTGCTGCTGTCGCTGCCGGCTGTCGTCTTCCTCGTGGTCCTCGGGCGGGGGCGGTTCCTCCAGCCCTGCAGAGGATGTGTGGAGCTCCCCGGTGGCCCGGGTCAGGCGGAAGACCACGGGGATCTGGGCCAGAGTTGGATTGGTCTCCTGCAGGCCCTGGATCCACTTGGCCAGCGTCGCCTGGTCATGGGCACCCGCCATGCACATGGCGAAGACAGGGCCTTCCTCCACTGTTGGAAGAGATACACCCTCAGGATTTGCACATTGGGGGCTGCAGCGGCTAACCCATGCCTACACCTTTTTGAGGTATTTTACACTCCCTTCCACTTTCTTTTTTGAGATGGAGTCTCGCTGTGTCGCCCAGGCCGTGATCTCGGCTCACTGCAACTTCCGCCTCCCAGGTTTAAGTGATTCTCCTGCCTTGGCCTCCAGAGGAGCTGGGACTACAGGCGCACAGCACCACGCCCGGCTAATTTTTAAATTTTTAGTAGAGATGGGGTTTCACTATGTTGGCCAGACTGGTCTCAAATTCCTGACCTCAAATGATCCACCCGTCTCAGCCTCCCAAAGTGCTGGGATTACAGGCCTGAGCCACTGCACCCGGCTTCCTTCCACTTTCTTGTGCCTCCAAACCTTTGCACAAGCTAGCCCTGCTGCCTAGGCTGCCCACTCCACACTTCACCCAAGCGATGCCTCCTGGGTCTTCTAGATTCTGCTAGGAAGCCCTCCTGACCTCCCACTCAAGGCACGTTCCTCTCCTAAGCTCCCCAAAGTGTAATTTGCCTGTTCCCTTACTGACTCAAGGGACTAGGTTTGCCCTGGTGACACCCAGTAGCCAGCACAGAGGTGTGGAGGGAGGGAATGACCAAGGGCCGACAGGGCTGAGTGGCCTGAGGTCTGGAGCCCCTGAGGCAAATGAGAGTGTGTGGCGGGAGGATGAGGGGGTAAGTGGACTGCATCTCAGCCTGGGCCTACTCCTTGACCCCAGAGGCCGCCCCTCATCCTGGGTGGTGTTTGGAATGTTTGGAAGTCCTGCCTGTCCAGGTTTTTGCCTTTTTTTTTTTTTTTTTTTTTTAAGAGACAGGGTCTATCACGCAGGCCAGAGTGCAGTGGCTCAATCATAATTCACTGCAACCTCAGCTCCCAGGCTCAAGTGATCCTCCCACCTCAGCCTGTCGGAGGGCTGAGATTACAGGCACACCCACCGCACCAGGCCCAGTTTCTACCTTCATTGATGTCAAACTCGTAGTCGTCCCAGCCACTCCTCGAATACTCCAGGTCCAGCTGCATCGGGTAATAGAGGTTCCACTCCTCCGGGGTCTCTTCCACTTCCTACTCCAAAGAGGGGAGTGCAGGCAGGAGGGTCAGAGGCCGGGGCTCTCGTAGTCTCCCTCCCCCAGCCTCTCCCATGCACCCTCAGGGTGGTGCCAGCCCCACTCCCCAGGCCCGACACGTGCTTTGCTTTAAGCCCTCACCCTCTCCTCCGGGGGCAGCAAGTCAGCTCTGAGGATGTGGTAATACACACACTTGTTTCGGAGCCACAGGGAGAAGGGGCCCTCGACAAAGATGGGCCGGGCAGGGTTGTGGCGGGCCAGGGCAGCCTGCTGATCGGGACTCTGGATTCCTGGTGTGGAGATATACATGCCCTGTGCCCTGTGAGGGACTCTGCCCAAAGGCTCAGGGAGCCCAGCTTAGGTCCAGCAGGGCCTGGGTCAGGTTAGAGACCTGGCTGCCCCTATGCTTGCGGACTTACCTACGATGTGGGGCTGGGGGGGATCTGCTGCACCTGTTGAGTCTTTGGGCAAAGGAACCTGCAAGGGAAAGTAGGGATGTAATCTTGTAACCCCCAATCCCCTACAGAGGAACTGGAGACAGAGAAACAGAAAGGGGGATATCAGCGAATTTAGGACACCTTTCCTGGATCTGGTACATGGTCCTCCAACCTGTCCCCTTGTCCCTCTGTCCCATTTGGCAATAGCCACCAACCTTTAGGATGCTCACCCTGAGGGAACCACCCTGGAGCCAGCCCACATGTGTCAAAATCCTGACTCTGTCACAAGCTATGTGACCTCGGCCAAGTCACTGTACCTGTGTGCCTCAGTTTTTTCAGATGCACAATAGGGATGATAATAGCACTTAATTCCAATTATTTTTTTTTTTTGTTTTTTTTTGTTTGTTTTTTTTGAGACGGAGTCTCGCTCTGTCGCCCAGGCTGGAGTGCAGTGGTGCGATCTCAGCTCACTGCAAGCTCCGCCTCCCGGGTTCCCGCCATTCTCCTGCCTCAGCCTCCCGAGTAGCTGGGACTACAGGCGCCCGCCACCTTGCCCGGCTAATTTTTTTGTATTTTTTTAGTAGAGACAGGGTTTCACCGTGTTAGCCAGGATGGTCTCGATCTCCTGACCTTGTGATCCACCCATCTCGGCCTCCCAAAGTGCTGGGATTACAGGCTTGAGCCACCGCGCCCGGCTTTTTTTTTCTTTTATAGAGATGGGGTCTCCCTCTCTGTCATCCATGCTGGAGTACGGTGGCACGATCATAGTTCACTGTAGGCCTGAACTCCTGGGCTCAAGTGATCTTCCCACCTCAGTTTCCCAAGTAGCTTGGTCTAAGGGTGTACACCACTATGCCCCGCTAATTTAATTTTTTAAATTTTTTTATTTTTGAGATGGAGTTTTTCTCTTGTTGCTCAGGCTGGAGTGCAGTGGCGTGATCTTGACTCACTATAGCCTCCGCCTCCTGGGTTCAAGCGATTCTCCTGCCTCAGCCTCCCGAGTAGCTGGGACTACAGGCACCTGCCACCACGCCCAGCTAATTTTTTGTATTTTTAGTAGAGATAGGGTTTTGCTATGTTGGCCTGGCTGGTCTCAAACTCCTGGCCTCAGGTGATCCGCCTGCCTTGGCCTCCCAAAGCACTAGGATTATGGGCATAAACCTAACTTTGGGTGGTTGTAAAATGTGTAGAACAGTCCCTGGCAAATAGTAAGTGCTCAGTGCTTGTGAATTACAAGAAGAAAAATAACTTCACATATACAGAATATCCCAGGAAGGAGACACTAGAAGCAAATGATAGCTTTCACCTCTGTGGAGGACAGGGTGGGAAGGAATACCTTTTTGTATCTTTTAAAATTCTATACCTGAACATAATTCAAAAACACTAGACAAATTTTTTTTTTTTTTGAGATGGAGTTTTGCTCTTGTTGCCCAGGCTGGAATGCAGTGGCGTGATCTCGGCTCACTACAACCTTCACCTCGTGGGTTCAAGCGATTCTCCTGCCTCAGTCTCCCGAGTAGCTGGGATTTACAGGCATGCGCCACCACGCCTGGCTAATTTTGTATTTTTAGTAGAGAGGCACTGCACCCCACCAACAAATTTTTTTTTTTTTAACAAAATGCACCTGCTTTTGAACCAAAACAGTGGACAGCTGTTAGAACATATATCATTCATCCTTTCAAGTTAAAAAAACTGAGATAGGCAGGACGGGCACGGTGGCTCACACCTGTAATCCCAGCATTTTGGGAGGCCGAGGCTGGTGGATCACTTGAGGCCAGGAGTTTGAGACCAGCCTGGCCAACATGGTGAAACCCCAACTCTACTAAAAATACAAAAATTAGCTGGGAGTGGTGGCACACGCCTGTAGTCCCTGCTACACGGGAGGCTGAGGAACGAGAATTGCTTGAACCTGGGAGATGGAGGTGGTAGTGAGCCGAGACTGTGCCACCGCACTCCAGCATGGGCGACAGAACAAGGCTCTGTCTCAAAAAAAAAAAAGAAAAATTGAGATGGATCAGTGACTTCTAGTTGTTTTAAGTGACATTTGCAAAACGCAAGGTACATGTATGTAATCCCCTGCTACTAAAGAAACTTTTTTTTTTTTTTTTTTTGAGACGGAGTTTCATTCTTATTGCCCAGACTGGAGTGCAATGGCACAATCTTGGCTCACTGCAACCTCCACCTCCCGGGTTCAAGCGATTCTCCTGCCTCAGCCTCACAAGTAGCTGGGATTACAGGCATGCATCACCACGCCCGGATAATTCTTTTTGTATTTTTAATAGAGACGGGGTTTCTCCATGTTGGTCAGACTGGTCTCGAACTCCCAACCTCAGGTGATCCCGCCTGCCTCAGCCTCCCAAAGTGCTGGGATTACAGGTGTGAGCCACCATGCCTGGCCAAGGAACTTCTTTTTTTAAACAGATAGGATCCTGCTCCGTCGCCCAGTCTGGTTTACAGTGGTATGATCACGGCTTACCACAGCCTTGACTTCCTGAGTTCAAGCCATCCTCCTGCCTCAGCCTCCTGAGTAGCTGGGGCTACAGGTGTGCACCACCACTCCCAGCTAATTTACATATATTTTTTTGGTAGAGACAGGGTCTTGGCATGTTGCCCAGGCTGGTCTCAAACTTCTGGGCTCAAGCAGTCCATCTGCGTCAGCCTCCCAAAGTGCTGGGATTACAGGCATGAGCCACTGTGCCTGGCTGTATTTTACTCCATGAGATGGGGGTGAAGGATATTTAAATACAAAGGATATAGATGCAAAAAAAAAAAAAAAGAGAGAGAGAGAGAGATCTGCAAATGCATAGAACCTCTCTGGAAGGAGACATGGAAATAGTCACCTCTGGGGAAGGAGACAGGGGTGGGGAGGGGGCGGGGCCTGGGTAGAAGCAGAGGACTCGTCACCGTGTGCCTTTACATGCTGTTTGGCTTTT